AAAGAAAAAATAGCAAGGCACGGAGCTTTAAAAACACCCCCCCCCTAAAAAACCCATAGAATTGAAGCTTCACACCAACGCGAAGTGGCCAGCTAAATGGCCAACAAATGAATTTCAAAAAAAAATCTACTGGCCGCTGCCTCCATGAAAACATAGAGAATCAACACTAGTAGTCGATACGCAAAACGATCAACGACTGACCTTTGTCACGGACGGCCGCACATGATCGAAAACCACAGAGCACAAGCGCAAATCGGACCTAATCCGTCCTGGCTCCTGCAGCTTTGATTGTGTTTTGAATATTTCCTATCTTGAACAGGAAGGCTATGGGCCGGTGATCAGGAATGGATCTGGTGCGCCAAGATCAAAATGTGCTCGAGTGGGTTGGCAATACTTCTTATGATTTTATCTTTGAGGGAGAAAATAATAAAAACAAAAAACAAAAAACAAAAACACTTCCGGAGTGTATGTACTACGTACTAAATTTACTAAAATTAGTAAGAAATACTAAGAATTCTTTTTTTTGAATTGTTTCTTTTGTCTCCTGGCTTTGGATGACAGGGTGACAGGAGCTGTTGGGAAGCGGTTATCCTTCCCACTTTCTTTATCCTTTACAGGAAAGTACGTACTACCAAGAATGGCACTGGTCGGGTAAGTAAACTGTAAACGAAAACTTGTCTGTCAGACTGTTATGTTTTTCTTTTTCTTTTTTAAAGCAAACAATTCATTCATTATAAGGAAAAAAAGTCTTGAGGCCAGGGACCTCACAATTCCACCTAGAGAACTACTGGGAGCATTACCGAGCTTCGCTGTCTAGATCCATCCAAACAAACTGACTCAAAGTCTACGCTATACAAAGCTATAAAGTTATAAACCCACCATGTGCAATAAATGTCATGACATTTTGGCAGGCGCGTAAGTAAAAAACTTTTGCGCGGGAGGGGGGAGGAAGAACAAAAAGGGAAAAAAAAAAAAAAAAAGTACTTTTGGAAACATGTGCCTGAAAAAAAAGAAAAGAAAAGCAGCCCAGAGGATTTGCCCAGGGAGTCTCCAGCACAGGTCAACCTGCTGGGCATGTTGGAGGTCGGGGATCTTTTTGAAGTTTTTGTATTTCTTATTCCCGTCGGTGGGGCACTTCTGTGCCCACCTAAAGCAGACCCAAATCTGGGCTCGTTTTGACTTTTCAGGGTTGCCGGTTGGGGGTTGAATTGGGGGGGGGGGGGGGGGGGGGAGGGTATGACACGGGTTTTAAACTTTGAATAGTGGGTACCACTTTCCACTGTCTTTTGTTTTTTTTGTTTTTTCTAACAACAAAATCACTCTGCATTTTTTTTTTTCCCCACTTCTCTTCCTACTTGGTAGCTCTCTCCTCATTTTCTCTCTCGTTATCCTATTTTTCTTTTTCTCTCGATTATTCCTTTTTTTTTTTCCCTTTTCGACTTATTGGTTGCATTCATTGAATTTCGTTCACCTGTGGGTTTTTGTCACAAAAATTAACAAAATACTAAAATAGGTATTATACGGATCTGGGTTGCACGGCGTACGTGTACGCGGTTTGCGCGTACACTCGTACACGTATTCCTGTACGTGACACGTACGCACGTACATGTACTCCCGTACGTGGGAATACGTATTAAAAAAAAAAAAAAAAAAAAAAAAAAAAAAAAAAAAAAAAAAAAAAAAAAAAAAAAAAGTCATCGGAAAAATCTGAAACAAAAGTATGTTATGCAAAATGATATTTCAAACAACGTTTGCCTGAGACTCATTGCAAAATTCTGTACCAAACTCGAGTGAAAAATCAAAGACACAAAAAACAAATAAATTGAAATAAAAAGTTTTAAAAAAACTAGGAAAAAAACAGAAAAAACATAAAAAAACGTCTGTAACAAATATATGTTATGCAGAAACATGATACAAATAACTTTTTCCCGGGAGTCATCCCCGGATTTCCAATCAAACTCGAGTAAGAAATTAAAAACTAAAAAAAAGGTAATATTATTATGATAATAATTTAAAAACTGTTTTAAAATAGTTTTTTTTTTAATTATTTTAAAGTTTTCTTTAAGGTTTTATTTTTTTTAATCAAGATTGGTTGGGAATTCGGGTATGACTCCCAGGCAAAAGTTGTTCGTATCATGATTTTTTTTTGTTTTTTACGTACGCGTACGCACGATTTTGGGTTCGTACGCGTACGCTGGAATACGTATGCGTACCTACTGCGTACGCGTATTATGGATACATTACAGAATGAAATATTTATTTTAAATTTATTTCAATTATTTGAATTTATTTCATATTTCATTGTTATCTCAGCCAAACCAACGTTATGCATTTTCGAGAAGAAGGGCAATCCAAAATTGATGCTTTAAGTTATGAACTCTTTCAAATTTCAGTTTCATCCCCTGTTGAAAGTGGACAGCCAGCAGATGACACCACAAGTGGAGCAAGGCAGCACAGCACTGATGCAGTGAAGCACCAGGCAACGCTAACGAGGCAGGCCAACTACCCAGCGCACAAGCAAAGTGCATGGAATGACAAGGTAAGCAGATGGGCAGCGAGGCAACAACGCAGCGAAGCACAAGGCAACAATGCAGCAAAGCACAAGGCAACAACGCAGCGAAGCACGAGACGACAAACAGACAAGCTGCAAGGAAAGACATGGCAAGCGGATGGACAGAAAGGCAGTGGAGGAGCGCAGACAACGCGCAATTCACACATCCAAGGCGGACCAAAGCAGTCCATCTGACTCCATCACCTATTCACAGCCCGAGCAGAACCCCGCCCTCAGAGCCAGGAAGCCACTCAAATGAACGTCTGTCATCGCCGATGGAACAGACACCCTCAGACATTCAGAAGAGATCAGCCCCCTAATACCCTTAATAGTTCGGTAGACACTCCAACCAAACGACCACCAACACACAGAAAGTAAGACAAAAAAAGAAGGGAAGAAAATCTACAAACATGTGATTGTGGGTGTGTGTGTGTGTGTGTTTGTGTGTGTGTGTGTGTGTGTGTGTGTGTGTGTGTGTGTGTGTGTGTGTCTGTTCCTGCGCTGTTTGCGACAACATCATGTCAGTCTTGGTTTCTTTGTCCGTCTCTGTGTCTACTTGAGTTCTGTGACATGTGTATGTCTATCTGTGTGCTTGTCATCGTACACGCATTTGTCTGCCTGTTCTATGATATGATGATTGATACGACTGAATTGTGTCTTTCCCTGGCATGTCTGACTTAGGGATGCTGCCCATACTGTGCACCCCTTGGCCGGCCAAGGTGTGAATTTGGGCTTCCTAGATGCAGCTGCTCTTGCTAGAGTGATTGGGAACGGCATCAAGGATGGAAGGGAGATTGGTACGTTTTTAAGCAAAACCAAGCAAAAAGTGCCGCAGTCACAGTGTGTGACACATTGCGTGACTGTATGTGGACTTTTTTGTGGACTGTGTGTGACTGTGTGTGACTGTGCATGACTGTGTGTGACTGTGCGTGACTGTGTGTGACTCTATGCGACAGCGTGTGACAGTGTGGGACTGTGTGCGACAGTGTGTGACAGTGTGTGACAGTGTGTGACAGTGTGTGACAGTATGTGACAGTATGTGACAGTGTGTGAAAGTGTGTGACAGTGTGCAACGGTGTGTGACAGTGTGTGACAGTGTGTGACAGTGTGTGACAGTGTGNGTATGTGACAGTGTGTGAAAGTGTGTGACAGTGTGCAACGGTGTGTGACAGTGTGTGACAGTGTGTGACAGTGTGTGACAGTGTGTGACAGTGTGTGACAGTGTGCGACATCGTGTGACAGTGTGCGACAGCATGGACAGTGTGATAGTTTGTTGCGCATTTCAGAGTTCAGATTCTCTGTCTGCTTAGACCGTAGAGTATTCAGAATTTCAGATCCTTTGGAAACTGGGCCCAGCGTCCTGAAGAGGAAGAACAGGAACCTGTGGTGCCGGGTCCTGACTGTGCAGCTCGCACCTTATTCAGATTGGATGGGAAAGGGAAGCTGGCAAATCATTTCATGAATCTTTTCCTCTTTTCAGTCTTTGTGACCCATCCATCTTTTTTTTTCTTTTTTTTTTAATGATGGTATTGGCAAGTTATCTGTTACTGCTGGAGGAGTAGCAAGCATAGCGGCAAATGGAGAATTGGCGGGATGGATGACTGGCAAATTGTTCAATGAATCTGTTCCTCTTCTGAGAGTCTGTTTTCCTTGTTTCCTGAAACGTATATTGGCAGGTGATCTGCTACTTCTGGAGGAGTACCAAGCAGAGCGGCAAAAGGAGAATTTGCGGATGATCGCAGCATTGCACGCACTGCAGCGTGTTTTCTGTACACAGAATTGGCCGCTGCCCCTCCTGCGCAACATTGGGCTTGATGCTGTGCAAATTCTCACACCCGTCAAGGTAATTACTAATTACTTTTTTTTTTTTTTTTTTTTGTGGTAATTACTAATTACTAATATAAGACCTTTGTGGAAGTTTTTTCCTTATCTAGGCTACCAGTACCAAATGTCTGGGCCATGGAAAGAATTTCGGACATCTAAAAAAAAGAGCCGCCGTATGGCCCCAAAATGGGCCCAAAATGATGTTTATAATTTTATTTTTTATTTTTCAGATTTTCTATTTGGGAAGTTTGCGGCGAACTTCCCGCTTGGCAAATGGAGCACAAATCCGAGCTCACTTTCGGAAAAAAAAACGTGTTAACGGGTAAAGGGGGGTCTTCTTTTGTCGGTTTTTTTTTTTTTCCCTGTTCTGGTGAGAATTTGCCGATGATCCTCAGTCAGAAGTTATTTGTATTTTGGACCAAGCGATGTAAGGGACGCTGGGCCCAATTCCCAGCATTCAAGCATTGTAAATATAATTTTTTTTTTTAAAAAAAAAAAAAAAAAGTTGTTCTCTTCAGGAAGCGAAAAAGAAAAGCTTTTTCTTGTATTTGTAGGAGCTGCAATTTCGGGTCCCGGCCATCAGGTAGCCAGGAAGGGCCTGGATGGTCTAACTTTTATTAAGTTATTTGAACTTATTTGAAGTTATTTCTAAGTTATTTGATTATCCAATTTATCCCCCAAATGGTACATTAGATTGATATGCACTCCCTCAATTTGACCCCATGCTCTCATATTTCCTATTTTTGAATAATTAATAAAAACTATTAAAAAGTCTATCATGTCGCCTTGAGCAGAGAGAGCAACTCCATGTTCACATGTCAACTCTTTCAAGCGGGTGAGAATAAAGAAGAAAGAGAAAGAGGAAGAGAAAAACTTCAAAAAAGTGAAAAGGACGGAAAAAAAAAA